TATTGGCCTGACTCCCACGCCTTGCCTCCCCACCATGCTGCTGCATTCTCTGCTGTAGCAGTGCGGAATAGAGGAAGGGAAGACAAACCAATTGGTAAAAAGGTGATCTAAAGGAGAATCATCAATATTTACATTCTGCCAAGATGTACAAAGTGAGCCAACTAGATTAGGTTAAATCCCACTGTCAAACAGAAAAGGTGCACCTACACAGCTTTCTAAACAGTGGTGTGCCTGGTACACTGGGATTTCCTACCCAAAGCCATCAGTTTCTGCCTCGCTTCCTTCCCCTGACCAAGCTAGAATTCTCTGTATTCAAAGAAGAAAAATGGAAGCTAAGATACGTGCCTGTACATGAGTGTGGAGGCTGCTCCGATGCACTGTAATTACAGCTCATCAGAGCAGACTCAAGTAATTGAGTCTGCTGGAACGTGGACTCCCACATCTCACGCATCAGTGTCCCTGCACTTCAAAACGGTGGTGGGGGTGCTTAAACTGAAGCTCATTTGCCAAGCTTTAGTTTATTTGCCAAGTTCAAGCACCCCTACCACCATTTTGAAGTGCAGGGACACTGATGCACAAGACGGTGCAGCACTTTAAATAAAATGGCTCATGGAGCCGCTCTAATTAAAGCATCACCACCCTCCTCCCCCGAAGCAGATGTAAAAGTACCCGGAGAGACCGCAGGGAAGACTTGAAGTTCAGTCTGCATATGACGGGTGTCAAATATACAGCCCAAAGAATTAAGTTGTCCAATCCACAGGGCTCCCACAGGATCCAAGAATTCGGGGGCAGGGTAAACAAGGTGGGCCCCACTGCCAAAATCCAGGATATGGAGCCCCTTTGGATGCATCTCAGCAGTGGGGGCGAGTGATGCCTGTGTTAAAGTCCGCCGCTGGCTGCTGCCATGGTCTGGATCCAGCTCACAAGGACCCCCTGTTCTACACGAATCAGACACAAGGGCCCCTCAGACTGTCAATAAGTGCCAGTGTTGATTTTTTTTTTTTTTTTTGTTATGTGACCATCTGAGACCAGCAATTTATTACATTCTGGTGGCTGAGGGACTAGCTATGAGAAAAAATGGACTTTCTGTGACTAATGACTAAAGGAAGTGATTAAAAAGCCTCTATTACACTACTGGCTCCCAAAAACAGCATCCCTCAAACAGTCCTCAGGGACCAGGAAAAAAATAATTAAATATAATTGTCAGTTAGGTTGAGCCATTTTCTTAAATGATTTTATGGCATACTCTTAGAAGGAAACATTTCTACCACACTTCAACATATGTAAATGTTTAAACAGTGAACTTCAGTTGTCTTCAGACCTGTTACCATGTCTTTCCTTTCCGAGATTACTGCTTAACATTAAAATAACACACTTGCATTCCTCAAATAGTCCTCCTGTTTCTTACTTCTGCTACTTGAAGGGCCTGTCAGCTGTTATCCCTTGGAGTTGTCACTAATTTGAAGCATATTAGCAGTTATTATTTATTGCTTATTGTATATCAAGTAGCTTTTTGTTAAATCATGCTGATCTCCAGTAACATAGTGGTTTATTGAAACTGTAACATAACACTATAAGTAAAAAAAAAAAAAGCTAAAGTGAAGAAAGCAACTTTATAAATATTTCATTAAGAAACATAACTTCACCTAACCAAGTGATTATTTATTTATTCATTTATTCATGGTGGAGCATGAAACAGAATAAATAAAAAATGGTATTTAAAGATTACATACTATAAATAGCTTGGGCCACAAAGAATATGTACCTAGTCAGAAGAGAATGAAGAGTTTGAGAATTGTTAATATGGAGATTTGGCATAAACAATTTTCACCCTAAGCTCTTCTTTCTTTTTGGGACTGTGATTTCACATACAATAGACAAGTTCCTCACAAAATGTTAAAATGGATATGAATCAATATCTATTCTTTTCCTTGTTTTCTTTTCTGTAGTATTTACTAGAATTCCTAGTAATCAACAGAGATTTACATTATTCATTTCATACTGGCTTGTTTTTATGAGAAACAAAAAGGAGAAAACTGAAGGATAAAACTGCTCTTTGCAATCAGATAAAGAGAGCCTCTTAATTTATTTATTGAACCTTCTTTGGAGACTTGCCCAATTAGTCATTATGCCATGGCTCATCACCAACATTTGAGTGTCTAATGCATCTAAGCCTAGGCGATCTTCATCTAGCCAATAATGCTGGGGCAAGTGCTGTGATACTTTAAGTCAAAAGCAGAGGAAAGTTCCTCATGTAAAATCCTGAATGGTTAGGATGGGGAAAGAGAGCTACTGGAAAATGAACTACACAGGAGCACAACAGCTCTATCTGGCCCTGAACAAAATATTTTTCATTTGCTTTCCCCTTAGCATTTCCACAATTCTTACATCAGTAGCATAAGTTTCACTAAGCTGTAGTTCACAAAACAACAGCTTTAAAAGTAAATACATGTGGAGTAAAGGAGGGAGAGAAGAGAGAGAAAAACGCAGCCACTATGTGCTTAATGCAGTTGCAGTTTAACAGGAAGGTCACCCTAAATCATTTTGACTATGTTTTCAAACCTGCAAACTATTCCACATGTACACTATGCCTAAATCACCCACCAACCACTACTCAAAAAGCCTCAGCTCAAATGCTAAGGGTGACAAATCTAACAAACAAATGAGCCTTTGTGGAATCCAATGTTCTGTTCTCTCATCGGCCCCAGTGGCTGTCTAAAGAGAGTGCTTCACCTTCCCATCCCCTAACTCCCCCAGCACCTTCCCTGAAGCAGCTCTGGCAACAGAGTGCAGAGAAGGAGCAGCAGCTGCAGTGCAAGAGCAACAGCTGAGGGGGAGATGTTGCCTCCTTTTTGCTGGAGGAAAAAAACTGTTCTTCTGATTGCTCAACACATGCCTATGGCAAAAAAGGTGACATTTTCCCCAGCAGCAGCGAATTCCTGGCTGCTGCTCCCACACTGCTGGAGCTGAGAAGGTGCGGGAATGGGGAAGGAGGGGGGCACACAGTACTGCTCAGACACAGTTAAGCCTCTGCATGTATTAACTAAAATGATATTTAAGGGTACTTGTATGAATCCACGCATTGTATCTTCATTTGAGGTCTTGCTGAATTTGAGAAATTTGAGTTTGAAAAGTAAAAAATAAACCTAGAGTGCCAACATAAGGCTTTGTCCCTTTGCATATATTCCTTTGAATTCTGACACCTGTGAATAAAAGCAGCGGGGAAGGAGTTTGTTCTTTAACATAAAATATTATCCTAATTAAAAGAACATGTTATAAGTACTGTTGGATATGAAAGGAGTTCAACTTTCCATCAATGTCATCAGCAAGATAACTTGCAGTTATATTAGGATGTCAAGCATATTGCTTTTAGATTTGTTGTGCATAGCATTCTACAGTCGCAAAATACTTGTTAAGGCTGATGGATTTTTATTATGTTTCCATAGGTTCCTCCCCCCCGAGGTCAGACTGCATATTTATACAATCAATAATAAAGCAAGTAAATGAAGAAATGCATGCCCATGCAATGAAGGGGCTGTGATCTGATGCAAACAGTCCAGCATCACGCATTATTTCTCCCCATACCTCCCCCTTTTTTTCCCCCCTCAGGATGAAAGATTTTTTTTGGCCTAATGCAAGATTTTGATTTCTTAGGAGAAGAGGTCACTTTGAATGGGTATGTTTTTCAGTAGAAGGCTAGGGAGTGGGGTTGTTACTTTATCACATCACAAAGTAGGGTGTCTATAAAACAGGGGGTAGATTTGGGGGTGAAACACTGGTAGCGCATTCAATTGTGCACAGGACAAAAAACAAATTTGGGAATGTACTGAATGTTTTAAAAAAGGATTAAAATATTAACGAGCTGCAGGAAGTGCCATAATCACTTTGCACCTTGGCAAATGCAGCCCCAAACAAGAGAAGGGGACAGTATAAAGGGATCTCTTTTCACAGGCATCTAGAAGGGGAGAGAAAATCGTGTTTGTTATCAGTGGCTGAAGGGGGGGGAAATCAGGCCAGCAAGCATCCAAAGCACTTGTGTAAATTCAAAATTATGGCCAAACGTTCCATTTCGCATAAGTGCCAGATATACTCTATGATGCCATAACTGCAGCTTTGCAGATAAATCCCTATAGAAAATAATCTAATTATATGTAGAATGCCATACACCGTGCTGGGAAATCATGATACAATGACTGGCTGCCATGCAGGTGTCCAAGGGAGGAAAGAGAATAAAAACTTCCACCCATCCTCTTCCAACACAGAGGGACTAGATGCAACCCAAGAGTGCTGTAGGTAGGAGTTAACTATTTCGAGAGAGCAGAAGGAAATAGCTGTCTGCAGAGCAAAGGGAATCTCAAATTCATTTGGTTCAGAAAGCAGCAGAGCTCCAAATCCAATGTGTTTTTTTTCTCCTCCAAGGATTCTTCAGAAATCAGGGACAAATCTGCCAGCATTCAGAAGAAATCTGGGGGTGTCAGCCATTTAAGCCACCATAAAAGAGAAGATGACCCTATATGATACCACTAGGGGCAGCTAAGTAGATGTCTTTGCATCCTTAAATATGCCAGAGCAGATGTCCTTAAGGGTAGTGGAATGGATGACCCCACACTGACTGGCCCTCAAGGGTACCACACAGGTCATTTGCTCTGTATTGTTCTCAATACAAACTGACCCCATGCAGAAGCAGATCAATTTTTAAGTTTCTTGAGGAGCTGGGCAAGGGGAAAAATTCAAAACAAATCTGTCTATGGAATACTACAGAATATAAAATCATCTATACATGAGGCTTTTCCCCAATATTTGGAGAAAAAGAATCAAAATGTTAAGAAACAACTATGAATTAGCTGTAAAGCCTTAATATACTAGGCAAAAATATAGCTAAACCAAAAAAAGTTAAGTCTCCAAATCTGCCCTCCCTCAAAATAAGTGCAGTAGAGTACTAAACAGGAAAATAAATAAAAGCAGGAGGGTCTATGCAAATTACCATCTCAGATACTCACATAAAGTTTTCCGGATATTCACTCAAGGCCATGTCAATAATATTCAAAGCATCATGATAGTGTTTCTGAGCTGAGAGCAAGAGCGCAAGGAGATGCAGAGAGTTTGCATCATCTCCTTGAAGTTGAAGAGCCTGACGAACATAACCCAAAGCTTCTGGTATCTGATTTAAAATGCAGAGAACTGTTATGAGAAGTATTGCCTGCTACAATTTGAATGAATGTATATTAACATTCAGGGTACGTGCAGTGTAGTACACTTCAATGCTATGCAACATTCTAACGAGTCCTGTAAAAACACTAAATCAGAAACATGAAATGAACTTCATAGACTTGACATTTCACAGCAAACTGTAGAAGTTTCAAAGTAATAAACTAACCTATAAAGTGAGATGAATATTGCTGTCAAACATTTTAACATACCTTTAGAATACCAAATTCATTCTGAGATAAATATTGTTGCTTCCTTTCATAATTTATGATACATTCTTAATGAGGTTCTGAAGATATTTTTAACTCTAAACTCAATTCAAGCCTATCCAAACAAAAAAACAGAGCTACTGATTTCTAAACAGCTTTTTCTTTACTGTAAATTTCTGATCTCCTCAGCTGCAGATGTTTTTCCTCAAAGAAAGGTGACAAAGCACTGAAAAAACCCACTAACTTTATATCATGACACAATGCGTTTCTGAATTCAAGTTTTTTTTGGTGCAAAGTCAAAACCATGTACTGAAAAACATTCTCATTCCATTCTAATGTGACATACACACTGATGTCTCTTCTGATCGTTAGCAAAGAAAAGTAATCGTGTAGAGTATGTAAAACTACCATGCTCAAAATTTAATAAAATAAAGTTTGACACAGGAAAAGGCTTAGCATGACGCATACAAAGCAATTCTGAATTATCCTGATTCATGTAATGCAAGATACAGGCCTAGCTCCTTTAAGGGAAAAACAGTACAGAACTCAGGCTCTCTTGTAAGAGCATAACAGATCCCCAACCACTTTTATAGCTTTAAAATATTTGCTGCTGCTTAAAAATCTTTTTTAAACAGATTTGTGTAGTACTGTTCACAACCCCCTCACTTCCAAACCAAATTTTCTTCATGAACAAAAAATCAGATTCATGCACTGAAAAAACAGTGTGCATGCCTGAACCTAACACTATCACGCTTCTACATGGCAGATATGATCCAATTTTTGAGAGAGGATATCCACACAGTGAAGAGCCTTCAAACGTAAAATTTCCATGGCCTTAAAAGAAATAAGAAAACTCTCATCTGTGTTTTATTTCTGACCTCAGTCTACACATGACATGAAGTGCAATACAATCTCCTATGGCAGGGGTGTCAAACTCACCTGGCCCCACAAGCTGAATGAATGGCTAGTGACCAGTCTAAGTGACAGATAGATGGTGTGTGGCCAGCCCTGTGGGCTGGATGCTGTCTATGGACCCCTCCCCGCCTGACCCTATGCTAGATCCAGCACACATGGTACCCATCCAGCCATCCAGCCATCCAGGACCCGACAGGAAGAGGGCCCAGCACCCCAGGCATTTGGCTGCCACTGCTGGGATGAGTCATGATGCTGGATTTCTTCCTGTGGTGTTTCTGGGGCTCCAGCACTGCTGCACTCTTTCTGGTGCATAGCAGACAAGTCAGCGAGAGGCAACACTGCAAGAAGCAGCCCAGCACCATGGCTCCTACGACTGAAGCTAAGCATCTGGTCAAAACCCATGCTGCTGGAGCCCCAGCAGAACCACTGGAACTAGCCCAGTACTAAGGCTTGTTCTCACAGCAGCAGCCACCAAATGCCTGTGATGCCAGCCCTTTCCGCAGGGCTGCTGGGGTTACAGCACCATGGGTCAGACCTGGACTCTTGGCCATCACTGAGGGAATATGTCTTGGTACCAGGCTTCTTCCTATGGTACTGCTGGAGCTTTCACTAGCTTGGCTGGCAATCATCCACTGCTTTTGCCCAGCACTGGAGCACCAACAGCACCTGCAGGAAGCAGCCCAGCATTGTGGGTGCAGGACTACAGCAGCAGGAACGAGCCATAGTGCTGCTAAGCCTACAGTGCCATGAGTCTGACAGATGATCAGCTGCTCTTGAGGGACGGTCCCACTTCAAGGCTGGGGGCCAGATGACCTGATTCTATAGGCTGAATCCAGCCCCTGAACTGCATTTGACACCTCTGTCTTAAGGCAATACCCCAGATAGTGATGGCAGCTACAATGCCAGGCCTCTTGAAGAGCAGAGACCAATCTATCACATCAATGTGCACACATTCCAGAAGGCTATAAAAAAAAGCAAGAATTGTTCTGTTGGAAAAACATGTGGTAAAGAGCCATTTGCACAGATCAGAATTTCTATAAAACTATCATAATGAGAAGATTTAATGCACCTCAAGTAGAACTAACCTGTCTAGATATGGCAAGCTGCAGAGCCAGGTAAAATGCTGCCAGATGATCCGTTGGAGACAAACTGTGGGCTCTGAAAAAAATAAATAGTCAATCTATTACAACACATTATCCACTATACATTCATATCACTTTTGAGCTTGTTTGTTCTTTTCTTACCCAGAGTACAGGGATACATTGGTCTTCCATCTCAGCCTGGCTGGAGTTCATTGTAATATTTTGTTATAGCACCCTGAAGTTAAGTAAAAATGCTTTTTGGTTTGAAAATAGTCCTTTTTTGTGCAATTTTAAAAGTGAGTGATATAAAATTCTTATTAATAAAGTTTAATCCTAGACCCATGCAAGGGATCTGTGGAAGAGTTCACTGCAAGAGATACTCAACTTTCCATTGATTACTCCCAAGTTTCTCGTTTTACACACAAAATTCAGAAAAAGTAGGGTGATGCCAGCTGCATAGTAGATGCCTGAGTGATCTCAATTAGGCAGAACAGGATGGAACTAAAACTGAAAACTCAAGGGAAAGGAACAGCTAAGTGAACTAGATCTTATTATTGTAAATCCCACAGTGTGAGCTGCAGACTCCAAAAATCTTCCTATAATGCAACACAGTATAGCTTCTGGGGACCCTATTAGGTCCCTCACATAGATTTCTGGATTTCACAGATTTCATAGACATTAGGGCTAGAAGGGACCTTGCAAGATCATCAGGTCCTGCCTCCTGTCCAACGGGCAGGCAGTTAGCAGTGGTCAAGTGATCCTAGCAAAGATAAGCATCCAAGTGTTTCTTAAAGGAATCCAGAGTAGGTTCCTGCACCACCTAAAACTCAAGGGCAAGGAAGGAGGAGTATCCTGCTGGACACTCCAGAGATGTACTAAATATCTTCCGGCAGTTCACCCTTGTAGCACAGGGCAGCATAAAAACTAACTTCAAAATGAGCCTTTGTTTAAAAATGGGGGATGCAGAAATTGACAGTATTTCCTTTATGAGTATTACTTCAGAGCTCAAAAATAAGTGACAGGGTTCTGTGATACTAGCACTTAGCAATAAAAAATTAAGCCAAAATCACTTCTCTTAAACACACCAACCCATTGTCATTACACGTAACGATCATCTGATATAATTAGAGAAAAACCTACATCGTTTTCTCACTGTTCATTTTGTCTAGCCAATCTCACTACTTTCCCAAAGATTCAATTCCCAAAGAACGCATATGTAGTTTTTCATTGAAAACAAGGACGGCAGATGTAGAGCTAAACTACTTTAAAACTTCCATTAAAAAACAAAAAAACAAAAATCAAATTTAAGTTAATTGTGGGCATTTAAATGATGCTTATAATGAGCAAAGTATGCAATTAAGTCACAAAAATGAAAAAAGTTGAGTTCTTTATTCAGAGGAAAAAAGGTTCTATCCTTTATGATCATGAAGGGAAAACAGAGACTAGTATTAGAGAGACAGGCCCTTAGCACAGTCCAAAGACATTTTTAGTTTTACTTGTTTTTTAAAAGAGTAAACAAGCAAAAAAAAAAAAATCCCTTCAGAATGGCTGGCCCAGGGAACAAGATACAGAGATTTTCCTTATAGGTTACTAGTTTTAAAAAAAACATTCGGGTCAGTTAAAGTTCAAAGCAGCTACCATCTGTCAGCTGTTTGGTGACTTATGTGAAATGACCAACACAAACACTGTGCAAGCATGCACCAACCCTGTGGAAAGATTGGTAACCCTGGTGTCATTTCAAATAGACAGATGCGAAAACCTGCCCCATAATTGGTCCTCTGACCCTAGCAGAGTTAGAGGTCACTTTACTCTCCCTTCCAGAGACTGCTCCTTTAGAGCAGGTATAAGAACTTGGCAGAGATGCCCAAGGAGGCCTGCACAGCTGCTGACTTTCATAATGTCATAGTGATTAGGGTCAGAAGGGACCCAAATAGATCATCAGGTCTGACCCCCTGCCCCGGGCAGGAACAAGTGCGGGTTCATAACACCCCAGCCAAATCTCTGTCCAGCCTCCTCTTGAAAACCCCAGAGTAGAAGAGAGAACCATCTCACTTGGGACTGTAACTTTATTGTATGCAAGTATTCCCATTTTTGGAGCATCACATTTTTACAGAATGAGCGGGAGCATATAACAAACAAACATACTGGGAAATGTGGTGCAAAAAAATCTCCCCCCATACTGGCAGCCTTTAAATGGAGTTGGTTGTATAAGCTATCAACGCAACTAAAACAGTAGTGTTAACTGCTGCAGTAACAAAAAGAAAATATTTCAGCAGGGCTACAGGGTATGAATCTCTGCTAGTGAAGGTGGCTCTAAGTGAGGTATCACTTTACCATACTTGACAATATAAAAGTTTCTTAGTTAACTTTCTTCCTTTAAAAAAAAATTACTTATAAAAGGTACAGAAGGTATCAACCATTGTAAGGGGCAACTCACTCTCTACAAGTGGCTGAAACCATATATTATTGGTATTTTAAGTCCAAAAACAATACTAGGGGGGATTTTCAGCCCATGTTAACTGTTTGCTTTTTTATAACGCCTCATGTTTTTGATAAGAACATCAAAGATACTTGCATTTAAAATCCTGGTTCAAATTAACAAGGGAATGCAAATTGACAGAAGAGGTTTTTTTTAATTCTTATGTGAAGTGAACTGAAATACTGAACTTAGATTACTAGACTCCCTCTATACATTACAGGTATTGCACGAGTACCTGGTAATTGCACAATTACCTGGAGACTAGCTACACACATTCAAAGTAGCTACCACACAATAAAAGGCTCCAACCTGCTATGAAGTTAGACCTCGAAATATGTACCAACTTTATAGCTAATTGCTATTGAGCTTTACAATTTCACGTGTAGCAAGGTCTCCTCTGTGGCTGGGATCCCCGTCAGTTGACAGGGTTCCCAGCCACAGGGGGGAACCTTGCTCAGCCAGGGCTGAGTCCCACAACTACTTGGGGCTCTCAGCTCCAGACACTGGGTCCCTGCAGCGTACTTCCCAGCAAACCCCTGGGACAGGATCCCCCCCACCTTGAGGGTGTGGGAAACAAGAAGCAAGTTCTCGCAGCTGGGAGTCTCACACACCTCAGCTGAGGAGTTCCCAACTGCAGGGGCACCCTACACCTCCCCTGGGCAGCAGGTGGGGGGGGAGGGGCATGGATTGTGATCATCCTGTTTTAGGACTGCATAAAACCCCTGGAGCTGGGGGAGGGGGAGGGAAATCTCTCTGGCAGTGATCCTCTGGCCCCAGGGGTTTCACATACCCCCAGGGCAGGGAGATCGCAATCTCCCAATCCTAGGGGTACATGAGGTGGCACTACAGCTGAGAGCCCCTCAAATGGGGTGCATGGGGCTCTCAGCCACAGGACCTTGCTTCTTGCCTGCAATAAGGTGCAATGGAATCTACTGCATAATCCCACAATCGCACTCCTGCCATGCACGTGGCATGACAGAAGGCACGATTGTGTGAATCATGCATTAGACCTATCGCACCTTTACATGCAGGTGTAGAAGGAGCCTTAAATACAGAACAATGGTGTATACTCCAAGTAGGATGAATCAACTGGAAACAGAAAACCACAAAGAGATAGTGAAGAAGAAAAGGAAGCAGATGTAATCGCTTCTGACACCCTACATGTGGCCATTATATGCTTCTGTTTTGCACGACTATTTCAAAACTTCAAGTCACTAGAAAATTAAAATTCTGTCTGTACTCTAGAGCTAAAGGACATCTGTAAGACCTCGTGGAAGAGACAAGCTGATATCAGCTGATTAGCTGAAAAACTTATTCACTGCTAACAAGTCTTTGAAATGGTAAAAACATCAAGAAGCTTGTTGTAAAAATGAAAGGAAGTTCCTAGAAGTAATACAAACAGAAGATAAATGACAAGCTATTTTTTCCATGAAAGCAATTCTCATCAAGCTTGAAACCAAGTATTATTCTTGAGAATTAATTCTAATAATCCCTTCAATACAACCCTATTTTTCCATAGTATTTAAGCCAAAAACAGTTACCCTCCCCACCAAGAGTAAAGCACTAAGAAGAACAGAGGGAGACCAATAGTACATTCTCTGCATAGTGAGGCACACTCCATTTTCATTAGCAACCCTTCCTTCTATCAGTTTAAAACCAGAGTACAATTGCAGCTTTTAGGAGCCAACAAGATTGGGTAAGTGTTACCCTCCTCTTGATCTTTCAGAAAACAGGAAGCTACCCATGGAGGAATACCAGAAAAATGCTCTGTAAGGGCTTTGGGATCTCCTTGGTAGGCTGGAAGACAAGCCAGTTCACTACCAGCTGGGAAGGCAAGAGCTAGCTTCAGAAGCGAGTCTCCATTCCCCACTGCTGGAAGTGAACTAGAGGGATGCATATTATTTTATGAGCTTAAATCTTGGATGAAATGTCACACAAGTCAACTGCAGAAGAGTGCATGGATAGTATGAGGTAAGTGGACAGGGAGGGAGGCAATGGAAGTGCTCAAGTTCCAGTGCTCGGGGGAAGGGGAGGATGCAGATATGGTTGTGGAATCAAGGGGGGCCAAGAGGTGGTAAGTACACACTGAGATGGAGTGAAGACAAAGAGCACGTGCACATGCAAGTAAGAAGTGAGGGGAGCAGCCACATCATTGCCCTTGTACAGGCTTGAAAAAAGTATCAAGGTTTACAGACTGCATAAGAGCACACATTCCCATTTTTCCTCTGATCTCCTCTCCTGTGATGTGCTACATTAAAAACCCTATAGAAAAACCCCTACATAAAAACAGACTCATTAGTTCATTCCCAATTTATCAAGGAAGGAAAAAAGCCAAAAAGAATCTGCACAAAGCAAATCAGACCTGGATAATAAAATGGGTTTAAAGACAAATATTCAGAAGAGCCAAGTTTAGATAACCACTGTAAGTGTCACAGTATTCATCAGCAAGTGCTTTTATATTTAGAATCTAAATCATGAAAAGATCTCAATTTTCCTCCATGTTTGCTTGTTAATACTTGCAAGAACAAGCCCAGGGAGAGGGAATCAGGTCTCCCTCAAAACAGTACTACTTCTGGGTAAGGCCTCACACAAACTGGTGCTTGAGTTTGCATTGTCACTGCCTGTGATATAACTCTTCTGTGGACAAAAAGGACCTCCTTCTCCAGATCTGTCAATCTGGTACTTCTTGCAGGCAATAAATTCCCTTTTTCTCACTATACAACTGAAACACTGAATCTGTAATGGGGAACACCTGCTGTACAATCTGACCAGTGACAAATCACCACTGAATCATTTTACAGTATTTAAAAATGTCCTTAAGGGGTATGTTTTATTTTTTCCTTCCAGACCAGAATAAGAGAATATTTATTTAAAAGCCTGCAAACCAAAATGTTGTTCTCCATTCAATGGCAACAGAAAATATCTTACATAAAGTAAGAGGAAACTCTTAAAAATTGGTTTGGATTTTTCTGGCAAAAACTGATGAAGTGAATGTTAATGCAATATGTTCTGTACTCATGAAGACAGACTCTCAGAGGTAAAATTCTCATTATGTAATCTTTATAAATCTCTCTTTTTTTAACCACATAAGGCTTTTCATTACATACAGAAGAATGAAAAGATTAACACCCACTCACCTCTGAAATGCAAGAAGAGCCTTTCTCTGCAGGATCTCTTGTATACCTCGCAAAGATGCTAAAAGGATATATTTAATCAGCATTACTTAAGATTCAAAGATTTGGTTCCACACATTTATTTGACAAAGTCTAACATATCAATAGATTAGGACAAAAATAACACACAGCACATAGAACACAAAGGGCTGTTACGCTTCTGTAGATTTACTTGTGACAAGAATTTCTCATCTGTGAAACTTTTTTTCTTACCATCAGTGGCTTGCAAGCTGTAAGTCAGTCCTAATGCCAAGTAGCCTTTTGCTTTGAACTCTGAGGTTTTGTCTCCAAGATCAACAACTGTTTTGGCAAATCTTTCTGCTTCTTCCAACTGAAACCATTACAAAAATGAACAAGAGAGTCTTATGAAGATTTCTGCTTCTGAAAACTCCAAACAACTCCATAAATACAAAACAGGGAGTGTATGTTCTTAGACAAAGCTAAGAAACCTGACTACCATTTTTTTTTACTCCACACAACAAACTTTTACCACTAAGGACTTGCTTAACTTTCCTACTTAAGTTTAGAAGAAGTAGCTGCCTCACTGGAGCGTGCACCAGCTGTTAGGATACAGTGTTTACATCTGCATGCTCCTACAGGGGATTAAATGAGCTCAACTTGTAATTTAAACGCTGAATGAAACAGAATTAAAGTTCCAATGGTTCTGTTCCACTTACACTGCTAAAAGATTATGCAGGTAAATTATATCCTAAATGCTTCTACCAGTAAAACTGTTACATCTGTTTACCTCATTGATTTTCCTGCTCATCTTATAAATATACAGGTTCATAGAAAGTTAAAATAACCATTCTGACAGTTACATGGTTTATCCTCACTCAGTGTCGGTGCCCATCTTTAAACATCTAGTCTTTACAAAAAAAAAAAAAAAAAGCTGAAAAGCTCTTTGGAGTCTTCCACTTGACTCTGAGTTCCCTTTGCCATTTTATATTTTCCAATTAGACAACATTACCGTTTTACTAACAAAGTGGCTGCTCTTAGAGTTTTCTCAAAACAACAACTGGAGAAAAATGCTCCGAGTCAAGAAGGACACCTAAACAAACAGGCCTCTGCATCTCACAAATGCCGTTGAATCCAAAAAGGTTCTGCCATGCAGAGTTGCTAAGATCAGAGCTTACATATCTCCATACCTCTCACACTGTAGTTTGACAAAGAAGGCCACGTACAAGTATTCTCTCTCTACCAGGAGAATCGCCACTCTTGCCGTAGAAGCTACGAGCGCACAAGCCCACACTGTATTTCTCCTGGGGGTTGGAGGAAGATTGGAACAGGTGCCAAAACTCCTTGCCCCTTCCCAGACCAGGGACTGCCTGGTCTGGTGAATGGGTCCAGCACCTGACCCCACTGCTCTACTCCCCCACATGGGAACAGGAGTGAAGCAGCTACTGCTCCCCATTCCTTCCCCACATTGGGATCACCCCAGTCTCATGAAGGCATGAGGACCAAGGGAAAGGGTACAGTGCCTGAATGCCTGTACTACTCCCTCTCCTGGAAAAACCTGGCAGTAGAAATGCACTAGAAATGCATGCCAGTTTGCTGCCCAAGTAAAGTTGACAGCTACAAAACAAGCATCCACAAACACACCAACAAATTTTATTTGAGGAAACTCTAAAGCAGGCAGTACATGTATGGGGGTCAATTTAGTGTCAGTCTGTATCAGTAAAATCAAATGATACCACATTTAACAGCCTAACCTAGTTCTGCTACTGCACCATTTCTGCTTGAACTTGAAGTTATAAAGAACTGTCTTCCCCTCCTCCATAGCACTTTATGTATAGCACCATGCATTCACAACAAATTAAGTGTAACCACAGCTTTTAAATAACGAGA